AAAAATAAGTCTACGGAGAACCAGGTCCAAAAGTCAAGTCATCTAATAAATAGGTGTATTTAATACTAATATACGTACATATTGAAGTTTGAACATGGATCCACTTATACGTAATTATGATAAAAAATATGGAAGATATTTTAAAAATTGCTCAAGATTTTTACTCAGAATTGTATAAGCGAGAAGATCTTCCAAATCCTGATCAAAATCAAATTACAAAAGTTCAAAATGTAGGCTCAGAAGACATCCCAGATATCACAACAGAGGAAATAAAATCAAAATCCACAAGGAAAAAAGCTGGCTCAAGGTGGCTCAGGCATTATGACCTAGCATTTTCGATTTTAATAACCTGATGATGGACTGTGTAGTCCGAAAACGTTTGTTTTATTGATGTGGCCCTTTTAAGGGTTTTTTAAATAAATATACCCATTTACAAAGATTAACCTCTTTTTGAAATAAAATCAGGTCTCTCGGGGATGAAAAACAATAAATCACCTGGAGAAGATGGGATAGTCATCGAACAAATCAAAGAAGGAGGAGGAACGTTAGTAAATGTGTTGAAAAATATGTTCAATATTACAAGAGGCGTAACCCCCTCCCAGTGGCATAATGCAATAATAACCATAATGCACAAGAAAGGTGACATTTCAGACCTAAAGAACTACAGACCTATTAGTTTGCTCTCCCATACATACAAACTATTCATGATAATAAGATGACAAGATAATAACAAAATGGCTTGTGAACAAACTGGATAGTTACCAACCTTGTGAACAGGCTGGGTTCCGCTCCAGATACGGAACAAATGATCATCTACAAGTTATAAAAACGCTAATAGAAAATTGTACAGAGTATAGCAAGCCTATCTTTCTTATATTCGTAGATTATGAAAAGGCGTTCGATACTATAGATCATCATAAAATGCTTCGAGCATTGGCTGACTGCCGCATTGACTACCGATATATCGCCTTGATTAAAAGTATTTACGAAACTGGTACAGCTTGTGTCCGCATTCATGAAGATACCAAGAAGTTTCGAATATAACGTGGAATTAGACAGTAAGATTTGCCGATGACATTGTTTTAATATCTGATACAGTTGATAAAGCTACAAAAATGCTGCACACGCTCTATAAAGTGTCAAAAACAATTGGTCTTAAAATTAACACCTCAAAGACAAAATTTATGACCAACCTTGTAGAGAGCGGTAAAATTCTGATTGAGAGCCATATCATAGATCAAGTAATAGCTTTCAAATATCTACGGCATGATATTCGCTTAGGCCGAGATAGTCAAACAACTAAAATACAAAGAAGGATAGGTCTCACATTTTGGGCTGCCTTTGGTAGATTGAATAACATTTTCAAGTCTATTATCCCAGTTTGTTTAGAAAAAAAGGTTTTTTGAAAAGAAAGAGACCAGTGCGTTTTACCGGTTCTTACATATGGTGCAGAAACACTGACTGACAAAAAGAACAATAGATAAAATAAGAGTTACACAACGCGCTATGGAAAGATCAATATTAGGTATTACCATCAGAGATAAAGTACCAAACGTAGAAATAAGAAGAAGAACAGGAGTCACAGATGCAGTTGAAAAATAGCCATGGCTAAATGGGCTTGGACCGGACATGTTGCCAGATTAACGAATGATAGATGGAGCAGAAAGATTCTGGAATGGCGACCAAGACAAGAAGCATATCGAAGCAGAGGACGACCACCGACTAGATGGATGGATGATATCAAGCGCATCACCACAAACTGAAATTATTATTTTAACGGAAACTTTACAGCCCCTTGATTGCACTATAGTTCAAATACAGGAATACGAACTTATATAAAGTATATGGAGAATGCTTATATCGACAATCACTCAGTGGTGAAATTTTCGCCATGTATGTCTACTTCAATACAGTTATCCGGGGTGTGGCACGTAGAGCAATAAGTGAGAGTTGGGTGTCTTATGAGGACCAGTTATCAAGAATCATCTCCCGAATATAATGCTCGAAGGGGTGCTTTCGATAGAAGGTGCTACCTCTATAGAACAACTCTATATCTCAATATCCTTGTAGATTAGGCTAATCTTCTTCCTCAACATTTCAGGGGTCACTGTTCCTTACTCTTCGTCACCACTAATTTCTGTCCATCTTCTTCACCCAAACCTTTCTCTCTCAAGTCTGTCATATAGTTCTTCCATCTTCTCTCTTTTTCCTCCCCCTCTCCTTCCATCAACTTCTAACATCTCTATCCTTCGTCCCACATATTTTTTATCTATGTCTGACATGGCCAAACCATTGCAGTCTCTGTTCTTGAATCTTTTTTGAGACTGTAGACTCTTTTCCCAATCAAGTTGTTTCTGAACCTGTCTCTTGCTAGTCTTACCCAACATCCACCGTAATATTTTTGTTTCAGTTACCTCTATCTTGTTTTCTTGAATCTTTTTACATACCACACTTCACCGCCGTACACTAACGCAGGTCTCAGCATACTCCTGTTTATCTTTCCTTTCAGCCCTACTCCGATTTTCCATCACAAAGTACCCCACTCATTTGCTTTTAGTTAAACCTGTATCATGTGGACAATTTCTCGATCTAGTATCCCATTTTCCATAACATAGGAGCCAAGTAATTTAAATTTTTCTACTCCTAGTTTTTCTATATTCCCAATATACTTCCCTTAAGCAATTCTATATCCCCAACTGTTCCTCTTCCTCCCAACCACATATACCTGTTTTCAACCTGCTAACCTTTAGTCTTCCCTTTTCAATAGTCCATCTCCAATACTCCAACTTCTCCTCCAACATTTCTTTGCACTCCTCTACTAACACGATATTATCAGCATAGAGCATTGAACAAGGAGTCCCCTCCCTTACTTTCTTGGTCAGTACATCCTTACCTTTTTAATCCAAAAAGATTAAAAAGGTAAGAATTCAGCGAAGAGTCTTGATACAAACCAAAAGTCACTGGAAAACTTTCAGTCAATCCGACAGTGGTCCTTACTTTGGTGTACGCTCTCGGGAACCCATTTCTCTCTCATACATCTACATAACTCTTGTCTAGAAACTGTATCGTACGAATTCTCAAGATCTATTAATATCAAATGTAACTCTCTATCAAATGTATCTCTATTCTTCTCGCTGTATTTCTTTATCAATACTCTATTGTACTCCTTCCTGGCATAAACCCAAAGTGTTCTATCGATGTCTCTCTCCTTACCCATTATCCATTGGGCATCCTTTCTTCCTCATATATTTTACAAAATATCAACCTCCTTCCAAACCTCCGCAGGTATTCCATTACATGCTACTGCCTATACCCTACATGCTATATACATTATGTGTACTATACATATCACGTCTGTTGATCTGATGTGTCATGTGCAGAGGCCTTCTTTAATGAATAAATCAAAATTTATCTTAAAGTAAGTCTATTTTTATCCATAGTGTTCTATGATATCTCGTATGTTGCTATATGTTCAGTAATAACGATAATGCTCTGTAGTGCCCGTTTGGTAGTCGCCTTATTTGTTTTTCCGTATTAATATATTTACTATATGCTCCCTTTTCATTTAACGCATCACACGCTCCAATCGGACCAATAACAACGGAGCTATGATGGAATGCCCCTTTGGCAAGGCCATGTGTGTTTTTCTGCCTCCTCAACATATTCGCTACCCCTCTGCTTTCCAATGATTTATCTTACTGTATGATTCGACTAACTATTCTACCATCCCCCCCCCCCCACACACACACACACACACACACACACACACACACACACACACACACAAAACGGTCAAAAGATATTGCTTAATTAAAATCTTACCTTACAATTACAGTAACCTGTGTTTTTAGTAATTTTGTAAAAAAAAATAATTACTGATTAGATAGTAAAATTTCCGAGTAAGCATATTTTAATCATTAATTTGTAGAATGATTAGTGACAAATCAACGTATCGTTTCAAGAAAAAAATATGGTTGCGATATCAGTTGGTAGTTCAGATTTATTTCCTAGGTGGCGCGAAGAGTTATCGTACCGAACAAACAGTGTGAGTTGTCGCCCTATAAATAGATTTATTTTTTTAAGGATACCAAATGGGAGAAAAACAACTTAAAATAATCTGCTATGCAGACGACGCAATACTACTCTCTCGAAGTGAAGATCATTTATAACGTATGCTGCACCAATTTAATATAACCACCAGAAAATTTAACACGTTAATTTCCCCAACAAAGGCAAAATGCATGGTTACAACAGCAAATTTACTAAGATGTAAATTGGAGCTGGAAGATCAGATAATACAACAAATGATGGAGTTCAAATATCTAGACATCACATTATCTAGCTACGGAAAGCTCGAAAGCGAAGTCGAAGATCAAGTGAATAGAGCAAATAGACTGCCTAAATGAAACAATATGGAGAAATTAAAATATCGGGAAAGAAACGAAAGGCAGAATTTACAAAACAGTCATCAAACCAATAATGACATACGCGGTAGAAACAGAGAGAGGAGAAAAAGGATGTTAGAAACAGCAGAGATGAAAACACTTAGAAAATTTGATGGTAAGACACTATGGGACAGAGTTAGAAGTACAGATATACGACATAGATGTAAGGTAGACAACATCAAAAATAGGAAGTTCGGTTCCCCAATAGGAAGACGATTAGTAGGAACAGCACGAAAACGATGGAATGACAATTTACTGGAGGCACATTGAAAAACAGAGTCATGTCTATATAAAAAGAAGAAGAAAGTTTTTTTTATTAGATTCGATTCGATTTTATTTTTTTTTATGTTTTTTATTTTATTTCCGATCCAGTCGTTCTCGAGTTTTAAAAAACTTTTGAAAAAATATAATGACGTTTAAGAAACAGACTTTTAGCTTTATGTGATTATGTTTTTAGCCATACTAACAAAAATCGCTTTTATCATTAAAATATGAACAATTAACTAGATATAAACCCACTTGATTTGATCTAATTTATTTTTCATTCTTTTTCAGCTCCGAGTACTCGTCACTAACCTAATGGGCTTCTTCTGGACCATCTATCTAGCAAATAAGAGACGACAACAACAAGCAAAAAGCAAGAGATCCAAGTAAACGTGTTAATTGATAGATAATCTAGTGATGATACTTGTTCTGGGATTTTTTAAGGTTTTGTTGGTAATAGTAATAATTAATTGTTTATATAAGTTATTTTTATATTATGCGGTTGCTGTAATTGTCCAGTTTTAATATTAAGTAATTCTTACAAATATATTTATATAAACTTATTTTTAGTTTTTATGAAACCTGATATTTCTAGAGGGCACTGTTGTATATAGTGTTCCCATTGCCTTCTTGTTTTTCTTCTTAATCGATATAGACTAGTAGGTCATAGTCATAGTAATAGTAGGTAAGTGATACATACAGCAACACTGACGATTATCTCATTTCCAGCGGTACAAACGGCTGTAAATAGGATCTGACGAGCAACACTTCGACGCTCCGTAAAGATTGGAGAAATAGTTTACATGCACCGGTTCAATTAATTTAAACAGTAATTGCTCAACACATGGGCAGGAAAAAATCGAGGACAGTAACAGGAATGTTGACGGCGTTCACTAATAAGGGAATTATAATATAGTCTAGTTAAGAATTATAATATAGACTCTGACAAGAAACTAGAAACTGTAAAACATTCGATTGCGAGGAGCTGGACCAACAGAAGACCGTGGTATATTCAGGGCACACCAAGCACAAGACCTGTATTTCAGCTTCAGTGATAACGGAGATGCTTTTGGATCAGACGGACCCAAGAAAAAAAAGGAGACTGGTAGATGTTCATGGTACCGTAATTATTTCACCTGACCTTACGTCGAAGATTGAGCGAATAAAATTATCACTTTATTTGCCTGCTACATGACATTTATTAGACGCAGTTCATAGAAGACGACTATTGAAACTCTGTCGTGCTCATGCAGATTGGTATATAGAAGATTGGAGACAAAATTCTGTTTACAGACGAATCACTTTTTACGAGATATTAACCTGATCGCCCTCAAAGAGTGTGGAGAAAGTATGGACAACGCTATGCCCAATGTTGCTTAACTACTAGCATACAGTTAGGTGGTGGAGGTATAATGGTATTGGGCGGCATTACTATAATGGTATTGGAAGCACACACAGAGCTTGTTATGTTAGAGGCAGGTGGCCTTAATGCTGAAAGGTACATTAGAAGAACATGTGTTATTTTGTTACTTTATATGCATTTTGTAGGTGAACATTTTCTCCCAATGCAGGATAATGCTCGACTGCACATAGTCACTTACTTTATTGCCAAAAATTGGTCGCATTTTCCCTGTAGTGATCATTTTCCCAAGTTAACATAAAATATACTCCTTTTATAACTTGACTGCATCGTACTGATAACGACCAAATAGTCAGAAATACGTATTCACGGTTGCCTTTCATCAATATACTCATTTTGTGTTCCTGTTAGCGAGACATGGTATTACATTTTACCTTTATGATTCACTCTTATTAACCTATTCTTTATATATACTATAAAATGATCTTCAAAAGTAACTGGACACTAAGTTTTATTTTAAATAAAAAAAGGTATTAAACTTCAATTTTAATCAATTATTTTTATTATACGTTCAATAAAAAACCATATATTAAAATACAAATTCCCGTTCCAAAAATAAACCCTCTCTCTCAACCTTTCTAGCATAGTATGAATGAAAGCAGAAATCTCGTTTTGCAGTATGTTCCTACACGTTTATTAGCGCCTGTTCTGATGTTACCACAGTTTCACACTCGCCATAATTTTGCCTAACTACCCTTCCTAAGTTATCCGACAAATGCTTTATCGGGTTAAGGCCTTTTAGGTGGAAAGGCTAGTAACTGAATACCAACATTTGTAAAGTATAGCATCGTTATCGTAAGCAATTCTTCTTGTTTATTCATTGTCTTCTTCATTCTGCTTATGTGGTTATTTCATTCTTTTTTTCCTATTCTCTCCTATTTCCTGTAATTCTTCTCAGTACTCTTGTCTCTGCCGGTTCCAGAAGTATTTGCGTTATGGCTGTGTCGGGTCTTGTTTCTGCGGCATATGTCATTATTGGTCTTACACTGCCTTTAAAAATTTCTGAGTTCATTTCAGTGTCATTAAGGAATTATATGCCCCAAGTACTATTGGGAAATACTATTCTCTAACAACGACCCAGACAATGATACAGAAAAAAGAAATTATAAAAAAGAACCTTAAATATTGAAATCATAAATTGAGGCGGCGCAATTAAAAAGCTAAAATCCAGAAAAGCAAAAGGAGAAGATGGAATAACAGCTGAAACACTCAAGAAATGGGAGCAGTGCCGGATTAAGGGGGGGCTATAGGACTCTTAGCCCCCGGCGGTAAATTTTGAGAGGCGGTACGTAGCTCCCATCACGTTTTAATTCTATATGTGGATATTTCAAATTTATGGGGTTGATTTTCTGAAATATGGTAATAATAATAAATTAATGCCACAAATAAATAGCTTCAGAACAATATACTTCGTCTTGTCACCAATAAGATCCGTGACTGTAGTAGCAGGTCGCACAAAAGCACGTTTCATGTTTCCGGGAAATCCACTGCGCCTGGCGACAGCGTGTTCGGCTCCAACACGGTATGTCGTCATCGTCAATCGTTAGTCGTGTTAGCGCAGTTTTCGAGAATAGTCTCAAATTTTACTTATTTTTATTAGTGAAGTGTTTTCATGACGTTTCTAAAACATGAGCGAAAAGGAAGGAGGTGCATTTTGGAAGCGACAAAAGTTAGAAAAGCAGCAAAAATTAACTGCAGTATTAAAAAAACCCCCAAGATTTAGCTTTTTTTTACCAAATCCAGGCAATATAATATACCAACAAGCACTTCTTTTCAAGACGATCCAATTGCAACAATTTCAGATGTTTTAGAAGGTAGGTTTATTTGACTAGTTTAGTTACTTTTTTAATAAAATAAAATTTGCAGCAGGATCTTCATCACGTCGAGATGATTAATCCACAGCAAATTCAGGCCCACTTTGTGATATCGAGTTACATCCTGAAGAGTTCTCCTGAACGTCAAGTTCTAGTCGAAAGTGGTGTTAATCGAATTGATTTACAAGATCCAAAATTCTGGCCAAGAAATTGTGTAGATGAAGTGCTGAAAGAATTCAAAACACAGGATCTTAATTCTTTAGACTTTGAATATTCAAAAAGAAAAATTGGGAAACAAAACAGGTACTGCACTAAATCACTATTTTGAAAGGTTTTAAAGAATGGTGAAAAAATTAGGCGTGACTGGTTAGTTTATTTCAAAAGCACAGGCTCTGTATTTTGCTTATATTGTCGACTCTTTTCAAGCGAAAATTGCACTTTTTTCTTTTTTACTGGATTTGACGACTGGAAAAAGGCTAAAGAAAAATGTGACAGTCATGAAAGATCAGTCGTTCATTTAGAACATCTTAAAAATTTTATTTCAAGAAATTCATTGAGTATGAAAAAGATCGATGATTCTCTGCGGCAACAGATTGAACATGAGACCACATATTGGCGAAACATATTACAAAGAGTGGTTTGGTTCATAAAATTCTTAGCTAGTAAGGAATTACCTTTTAGAGGAACCGACGAAAAATTTGGTTCGACTAGCAATGGCAATTACCTTGGATTACTAGAGTTGTTGGCGGAATATAATCCTCTTAAAATAACATATTGAAAAATATGCTTCAAAAGACTGTGGTTCAGTATCTTATTTATCAAAAACAATTTGTTTTGAATTTTTGCAATTGCTTTCGGACCACATATTAGAAGAAATTGTAAAACAAATTCATTGTGGCAAATATTATTCAATCAGTGTTGACTTTACATCCGATATAACACGTACAGATCAACTGACATTCATTATTAGGTATTGCTCGGACACCGGAACATCTGTTGAGAGGTTCATACAGTTTTTAGACAACACTGGCCATAAAGCCGAAAATATGGAAGCCAGCATTGTAAAAATGTTGTCCAACCTGAATATAAATATCGATGACTGCAGGGGACAATCGTATGACAATGCGAATAACATGTCTGGCGTTTATAGCGGTCTCCAAGCCCGAATAAAATCTAGGAATAGTTTGGCAAAATACGTGCAGCCCATTCCCTAAATTTGATTGTGCAGCATGCACTATGGAAAGTACTTCTTTTTTTTAGTAGCTGAAGATGTTTTTTTTTCTCAGCTTCAACTTACAGATGGAAACGACTCACTGATCTATTGAAAAATTGTGGCCATACAATATTTGTTACAAAAAGAGTTAATGTGACTTGATGGTCAGCACGATTTAATGCATTAAAAGCTCTTAATTTATGCTATCAAGATATAAAGCAAGCACTTTTAGAGTTATCCGCTAACGATGACGAGAAGATGCCAGTACGCTGTCAAGCAAACAATTTACACGAAAAGATGGCTACGTTAGAATTTGGTATTTATGTTGCCTTTTGGTTAGAAGTACTGGAAAGAACTGACCTAGCGAGTAAATCTTTACAGAGCGCAAATATGGACTTACATACATGTTCGTCTTTGTATAGCTCATTACAACATTTTTACGAGTCTCTTCGTGATAAATGTAATTTATTTGAACAAAAGGGGCAGCTCTTATCACAACAAACGGAATACAGCAAAGAAATTAGAAGTCGCAAAAGAAAATTACAGTTTGACGAAGCAGATACAGAAGAGAACCTTACACCGCAAAATAAGATTAGAACCCAAGTGCTGTATAAAACAATTGATTTTTAATTTTTTCCCCTTTAATAAGCTATGAGTTTCAGTCCAGATGTACCTTAGGTACGGCCACAAAATAATAAAGAATCAGAATGCGATTGGATTGGTCAGGATTATACTGACCTGCCAACGGCTAGACGCTAGTAGAAAAACCAGTTATTTAGGGCATTTGTTGCGCAACGAGAAATACTACATCCCTCAGTTGATAATAAAAGGCAAAATAGAAGGAAAGTGAGGAATTGGAAGAAAAAAATTGTCCTGGTTACGTAATATCAGAAACTGGACAGGACTTGGATTTGAGGAACTCTTAAGAGCAGCTGAAGATAGACAAACGTTTGCCACCATAACCGCTAACCTCCATTGATGGAGACGGCACTTGAAGAAGAAGATAGCCGATATGTTTAGTCTTGTTCTAGTTGCCAATGAATCATCACTCTCTAATTTTGTCTTGACTCTACTTAAAGTCTTATTTAATGGCACATTCGAAAACAGTCAAACCTTGCCAATAAACGTATTTTTATCTTTAATTGTGGCTTATTTCCAGTTAAATAGTAATTAAGAGACTTTCATTTAAAAGTCGAAAGAAAATGCAAAAAAGTATTTTTGAAGTGTGTATATTTTAGGCAATTCCTAGCTGAGCGCTTTCGGCTTTACAAAGCCATCATCAGAGCTATGGTCAATTTTTTAAAATACCACTACAAAGGAGAGATCTCATTTCCTTAAGTTTCACAATTATGATTTTTGTAGGAGTTGGAATTTTTTTTTTTAAATCATGGATCAATAGATGGTCGGGTCTTAAACCCGTACCATGACAAAAAATTTTTCAATTTTTTAACGTGTTTGTGACGTCCAGTGTCGACCTTTTATATGTTTTTTATATGTTTTAAAAATTCCAACTCCTACAAAAATCATAATTGTGAAACTTAAGGAAATGAGATCTCTCCTTTGTAGTGGTATTTTAAAAAATTGACCATAGCTCTGATGATGGCTTTGTAAAGCCGAAAGCGCTCAGCTAGGAATTGCCTAAAATATACACACTTCAAAAATACTTTTTTGCATTTTCTTTCGACTTGTCATAAGTGTGTACAAAAAATATCAGTCTTTTGATTTTTTCATTTAAAAGATCCTACTTGGAAAACTTCATTCTTTCATTAGTATTATTTCAAAATCAATATTTAAATAAGGAATAATTATATGACTTACTATAATTTTATTTTAATATGATAGTAACTCGCTCAAAGACGCACAAACCAATGGAACACAAACAGTCGATACTAAATATATCGTATAACAACGATAAGTTAAACACTAAGATTGCAAAAACTGTTTGCGTGTTTTAAATAGGTAACATTTCTGCCTATTGACCATTTACCTAAAAATGTAATTCAAACATTAAATAAGGTATTAAATAATACCAGATCATTTAATTTTTAAGTATCAACAAAAATTTAATATATGACAAGTATGAATTTGATGGTAATGCAATCGCCGCCGCTACATATTTCTGAGTTGATAAGAGTGTTTAGATAACAAGACTCATTTTCAATAATATGTGTGGATGGAACCTCATTGTTCCCATAACAATTATGTTCTTGCAAATCAATAACTTTGATTATTTGGTAAACCTATATTGTCACAAACAATAAATAAAAATCATTAAAACTTGTTTATGAATAAATGCTTAGAATCTGTAAATTGTACTTTCGAAAACACCTGTCACTTCTGCCACACGCTCTTTTCTGCGATGATAAGGTATTGTGTGACCTTCAGATTCCTTTTTCATAAAGGCTAACACATTAGCAATTATTTCTCGAATTTGACTATTACCAACCAGTCCAGATAATTTGTTCTTAAACTCCGTGCTATATTATTAAATAACACTAATTTGGGTATATCTACTTTTTTATTTTACAATTATTTGCTCACTTTTACAGTTGTTAATTTTAACAGTGTTCTTAAAAGAACTTTTGCATACAATGAGTAAAACTAAAACAAAATACACAAATACAAAACGTAAACTCACAACAAAATTAAATTTAAATAACGCGAGTAAAAGAAACGATATGATCATCCTTCTGTCACCACATCTTACATCTAAAACTATGTCAAAAAATGATCGAATGCTATATTTGGTCAGTGTTTTGTACATGGCACTGATACCTGGACTCTGAAGGCTGATATGGTCAATCGCCTAGAGGCCTTTGAGATGTGGTTGAATAAAACAGTGCTCCAAATGCTCTGGACTGTGATGCAGACAAACAACGCTGTGTTAAATTAAGCAAATGCCGTTCGTGATATGCTGAAAACTATTAAAATAAAAAAATTCTACACCTAAGGCATGTTCTGAGAGGAGACGTACAGAATCCTTCAGGTTGTCATAAAAGATAAAATCGAGGGGCACAGAGGAATTGGAAGGAAGCAGATGTCATGGCTCAAGAACACTCACGAATGAACAAAAATATGCAGTAGGGGAGAGGCGGGAACAGTGACACACAGGGAACAGTGACACATTTAAAATCCTAGTAGAAAATATGTTAGCAAGTTGGTGATATTGTGGAATTTTACAGTTGGTATAATAAGAATACTACTTGTCTTATAAAAAGTTGACAGAATCTGTTGTGTTTGGAGAAAATCGCATGTTTGTGTTTTGTTAGTGCAGAAGTATTTTTTCAAGGGTGTTTTTAGTTGTTTACTACGAGGAAACAAACCTGAATTATTGGATTGTGTTCTGGGTCGTAAAAAAGTCGTATAAAATGTAAGTAATAGCAATAAAATTTCTTTAAAATCTTTGTAGATTAACAAAAAATTTACAAATTTTTGTATAAAACAGCATTGTGGGTACAGTGACACGAATATTGATAGGGAACAGTGACACGATGTGTCACTGTACCCTTCTTGTGAATTTCATAAAATCTTGACAGCAAATGAGTGCTGGAAAATCATATTAGGGTCTAAGAAGCTTTTGTTAATTATGAATTTACATTACAGATGGTACGTCAGAAGAAAACGGATAAGACAGTGGGTAGATTCAATGAAGATTCTATGAGGGAAGCAGTCAATCTAGTTATCAGTGGTATATCAATTCGTCAAGCTGCTAGAGAGAAAAACTTAAGCTTTAAAACCGTAAGCAGATACGTAAAGAAATACAGAGATGATCCCGAATGCCGAATGGCTCCTAACTATAAAATAAACCAAATATTTTCTTTGGAACTAGAGGAAGCTCTCGTTGATTATATCATAACGTGTTCAAAAATGTTTTACAGTTTAACAATTACCGATTGTCGCAAACTTTCATATGACTTAGCGAAAGCAAATAAATTAAAAATTCCAAAAAATTGGGAGGAGGAAAAAAAAAGCTTCAGTCGACTGGTATAAAGGATTTCGCCATAGACATCGTACAATATCCTTAAGAACTCCAGAGGGATGTAGTCTAGCAAGAGCAGCAGGATTCAATAAAGAAAATGTAAACTTATTTTTTAATAAGTTGGAAATAGTTTTGCAGCGACATCCAAATTTTTCAAATGGATTCAGAATTTACAATTTAGACGAAACCGGAACTTTGACAGTTCAAAACAATTCGACAAAGGTGCTAGCCAAAAAAGGCACTAGACAAGTGTCTAAAATTCAAAGCAGTGAAAGAGGTACAATTGTTACCACATGCATTGTAAGTAAGTAAGTGCAAATGGAAGTGCAATCCCACCCGTAATGGTATTTCCGAGAGTCCATTTTAAAAGCCATATGTTGGCAGGAGCGCCATGTGGGACGTTAGGCTTGGCTACGAAAGCAGGATGGATGAACACAGAATGTTTTATTGAAGTTTTAAAACATTTCATTAAACATACTTGTAGTTCAAAAGCTAACCCTTCACTATTAATCATGGACAACCATGAGAGCCATATATCTCTTGAAGCTATCATTCTGTGCAAAGATAATGGGGTCACTGTTTTGACTGTGCCTCCTCATTGCCCCCATCGGTTGCAACCATTAGATGTGGGTCTGCTAAAACCGTTTCATATATTTTATAACGATGCTTTAAGTTCGTGGGAAAAAGCTAATCCGGGCACACCTGTGACAATCTACCATGGAGCATCATTTGTGGGTTGACCGTCACGTATGTAATGATGATGATTATTTCGCAAGCCAAGTTACAGAACGACCATTAGTTAATTCACCAAATATTGATCCAAAACCATCTACCTCGACAGGAGGTACCACAGATAACTCTATCAAGAACCAGGACGTAACTCCATTACAGAAATTGTCACCTTCATCCACAAGTGGAAGAAAATTGACATTTGTAAGTCCATCAGCTATTCGTGAATATCCAAAAAAAAAGTCTGACAATTTCGGTTAAAACTAGAAGAAAAAAGGCAAGACTATGATTGCTACTGACACTCCAGAGAAAAACGAAATTGAAAGTAATAGAGCCAAAAAAGCGAAAACAGTTAAAAGAAGCATAATCTCAGAAGACATTAAAAACAATGATGATGTTATTGAGTCGGAAGACGAAGATGGTAAAACTTATAGTCTCCATAATTCTGACACGTCAGAGGAAAGTGAAATATTTTCAGATAGTGATGATGAAGACCTATGTGATTTGACATTAGATCCAGCCAAAATTTGCGACATTAAGATCAATGATTTCTTATTAGTGAGACTCAAATATGAAGCCCATTCCAATAAAGAAATCGAAAAATATTATATTGGGAAAGTTGTGGTGATAAACACCATTGGTACGATGGAAGTCAGTTTTTTACGTAAAAATTCAAAAAATGTCACATGCTTTGTGTTTCCATGTGTCACAGACATTCGTGTTATATTCAACAACCAGATTATAAAAATTTTGGACTATCCAAAAATTAGCAGGGGTCGACACTTTTTTCCTAATGTTAAAACGGACTTGATTTCATAGAAAACAACAAGCATTTATAATATTTTTCTATAGATCAATAATAAAGATACGTTTTTATTGTTTAATTAGTCCTAAATAATAATACTTACATATTACAGTTGAAAAATGTCTTTGTGTCAGTGTACCCTTCATACCAGGGAACACTGACACAATGCAAAGTTTCAGACTTTTTTTTAAATCTATTTGTTTTCTTAATTTATAGCAATGTAGTCATTCATGATGTATTTGCAACACAATAACACGTCCAAATTGATATTTGCAAGTAAAATCCTATTAATGGTCTAGCGATGACAGAAATTCAAATTTTTCTGTGTCACTGTACCCACCTCTCCCCTACTGAACAACTATTCTGATTAGTTGAAGGCTGTGAATAACTCATCAATTTAATTGCAAACATTAGGGGGACCTAATGTCGCACAGAAAGAAAAAGATGAATGAATTAAATTGCAAACTGCTAGAATTAAGGAATTGACAAAAAAAATTTAAGGTTTTCATTTTTCTATGTAGTTTAAAATCATAGGCTGTGTCAAATTATTTAAAAGACATTTTTCCACTGTGTAAACTCATTATAAAATTTCATATTAAATACTTTAAAAGAAAACTGCTTAAAACAAATCACACTTGGTGTTCTTCACTGTGCACTTTCAAAATATTCTTGCTAGAAAATTGCTTAAAACAAATTTCACACTGGTAAGATTTTTCTCCAGTGTGCACTCTCAAATGTGTTGTCAAATGACTTGCTTGACTAAATTGCTTAAAACAAATTTCACACTTGTAAGATTTTTCTCCAGTGTGCACTCTCATATGCGTTTTCAAATTACATGCTTGAGTAAATTGCTTAAAACAAATTTCACACTTATAACGTTTTTCTCCAGTGTGTGTTGTTAAATGCTGTTTCACTTGGGTTGTTGTATTAAACTGCTTTAAACAAATTTCACACTGGTAAGGTTTTTCTCCAGTATGAGTTCTCAAATGTTTTTTCAAGTTACTTGTAGAGTTAAACGGGTTAAAACAAAATTCACATTTGTAACATTTTTCTCCAATGTGCAGTCTCATATGCTTTTTCCAATTACCTGCTAGACTAAATTGCTTAAAACAAATTTCACACTTAAAAGATTTTTCTCCAGTGTGCACTCTTATATGCGTTTTCAAATTACATGCTTGAGTAAATTGCTTAAAACAAATTTCACACACATTACGATTTTCTCCAGTGTGTATTGTTAAATGCTGTTTCAAATATCTTGTTGTAGTAAATTGCTTAAAACAAATTTTACACTTGTAAGGTTTTTCTCCAGTATGAGTTATCAAATGTTTTTTCAAGTTACCAGTACTATTAAACTGCTTAAAACAAATTTCACATTTGTAAGGTTTTTTCCCAGAATGTACTATCAAATGTGTTTGCAAATTACATTTGTAAGAAAACTGTTTAAAACATATTTCGCACTGATAGGGTCTTTGTCCCACCGCAATTTTCATCGTTTTATTAATTGTTTTTCCGTCAGAGTGTTGACTCATATAATTTTCTTCGTAAGATGAATCTCCAATAATTAGTGTCTCCATATTTTCCATTTTTTGTTCATCTTGGATATATCCTAAAATACAAACCACATAATATAAATATTTGAGTATAAGGGAATTTTAATGCAATAATCAAATTAGAGTATTATAAAGTTTAAGATAGCAGAAGTAGTAAATGATATAAATATATTTTAGAAATCTGTGTTTATGTTTTCTGTATGTGTAATGGTATCAACAAATCGTGGATGTAACATTAAAAATAAATGCTAATTTTCATCGTCGAGGGTGGTTTAAAATCCCATCAACAGGAGGAATCCAACGTAATGTGGTCCAGGTCAACGTGGTCGGGTCTGAAATCAAGTCATCCATCTAATACTGTAATAATCCATTTATATTTGTTCTATTGTACCATTTTCAATAAATAAATTATGTTACAAAAAATAAATAAAAATCATTAAAACTTGTTTGTTAATAAATTCTGAGACTCTGTAAATTGTACTTTCGAAAACACCTGTCACTGCTGCCATACGCTCCTTTATGCGATGATGAGGTATTGTGACAGCTTCTGCAGCTTCCTTTTTCATAAAGGCTAACACATTAGCAATTATTTCTCGACTTTGACTATTACCAGCCCGTCCGGATAATTTTCTCTTAAACTCCATGGTATAATATTAAATAACACTAATTTAGGTATATATCTACTTTTTTATTTTACAATTATTTCCTTACTTTTACAGTTTTTAAGTTTAACAGTGTTCCTAAAAGAACTTTTGCATAAAATGAGTAAAACTAAAATAATTAAAACAAAATACACAAATACACAATGTAAAATAACAACAAAATCAAATTTAAATAACGCGAGTAAAAGAAACAATGCAACAATGAAAAATGGCTTCTGAACTGATCAATTATCTTAGAAATTCTGATTATATTGTTATTTTATGCGACAGTCTCCAGGGCATTCAAGAGTTATTGGATTGCGTAAACACAACAAGAGGAGAAATGGGTCTAGAAATGAACCCTTCTAAACAAAATTTATGATAGTTAGCCGTCAACTCCACAACAACGTTTCCCTATAGAAAGATCAACAAAACGTTGAGATATTTACTACCTTTAGATATCTGAGATATTACATTACAGTCCAACTAGACCCAAGTAAGCAGATCAAATGCAGAATTGAAGAAGCTCCTACAAGGTTTCTAAAAATGCAATCATCCTTCTGTAACCACATCTTACATCTAAAACTATATCAAAAAATGATCGAATGCTATATTTGGTCCATGTTTTTTACATGGCACTGATACTTGGACTCTGAAGGCTGATATGATCAATCGCCTAGAGGCCTTTGAGATGTGGTTGCATAGAACAGTGCTCCGAATGCTCTGGACTGTGATGAAGATAAACAACGCTGTGTTAAAATAAGCAAATGCCGTTAGTGATTTGCTGAAAACTATTAAAATAAGAAAAATTTTATACCTAAGGCATGTTCTTAGAGGAAACTGGTACAGAATCCTTCAGGTTATCATAAAAGATAAAATCGATGGCCACAGAGGAATTGGAACAAAGGAGATGTCATGGCTCAAGAACATTAAAAAATATGCAGTGCTGAACAACTATTCTGATTCGCTGAACACTGTGAATAACTCATCAATTTAATTGCCAACATTAGTTGACCTAATGTCGCACAGAAAGAAGAAGATGAATGAAGTAAATTGAAAACTGCTAAAATTAGGGAAGAAGCAAAAAGAATTTAAGGTTTGCATTCTTCTATGTAGTTTAAAATCATAGGTCATATTATTTAAAAGACATTCCTGCAGTGTGTAAACTCATTATAAAGTTTCATATTACATACTTGAAAAGAAAACTGCTTAAAACAAATCACATTTGGTTTTCTTCACTGTGCACTTTCAAATGTATTTTCAAAATATTTTTACTAGAAAACTGCTTAAAACATATTTCACACTTATAAGATTTTTCTCCAGGGTCCACTCCCAAATGGGTTTTCAAAGTACTTGCATCATTAAACTGTTTTAAACAAATTTCGCACTTGTACGGTTTTCGCCAGTATGTGTTCGCAAATGTGTTTTCAAAGAAACTGCCTGAGAAACAGCTTAAAACAAATTTAACACTTGTAAGATTTTTCTCCAGTGTGCACTCTCAAGTGTTTTTTCAAATTACCTGCTAGACTAAATTGCTTAAAACAAATTTCACACTTATAACGTTTTTCTCCAGTGTGTGTTGTTAAATGTTGTTTCACCTGGGTTGTTGTATTAAACTGCTTTAAACAAATTTCACACTTGTAAGGTTTTTCTCCAGTATGAGTTCTCAAATGTTTTTTCAAGTTACTTGTAGTATTAAACTGCTTAAAACAAAATTCACATTTGTAACATTTTTCTCCAATGTGCAGTCTCATATGCGTTTTCCAATTACCTGCTTGACTAAATTGCTTAAAACAAATTTCACACTTATAAGATTTTTCTCCAGTGTGCACTCTCATATGCGTTTTCAAATTACCTGCTAGAGTAAATTGCTTAAAACAAATTTCACATTCATTACGATTTTCTCCAGTGTGTGTTGTTAAATGCTGTTTCAAATATCTTGTGGTAGTAAACTGCTTTAAACAAATTTCACACTTGTAAGGTTTTTCTCCAGTATGAGTTCTCAAATGTTTTTTCAAGTTACTTGTACTATTAAACTGCTTAAAACAAATTTCACATTTGTAAGGTTTTTTCCCAGAATGTACTCTCAAATGTATTTTCAAATTACTTTTGTTAGAAAACTGTTTAAAACAAAGTTCGCACTTATAAAGTCTTTGTCCCGCCGCAGTTTTCATCGTTTTATTTAATGTTTTTCCTTCAGAGTGTTGACTCATATAATTTTCTTCGTACGATGAATCTTCAATAATTAGTGTTTCAATATTTTCCATTTTTTGTTCATCTTGGATATAACCTAAAATACAAACCACATGCTATAAATATTTGAGTATAAGGGAAAATTAACCCCTTAACGCCCGAATTTATAAAAAAATAAACAAAAAAAATTAAAACTCACTAATGTTATTAAAAATGGCCAAATCAAGAAGGTGTAGTAATAAAACATTAAAAAAAAGTTATTTCGATATTTTAGGGGGATTGATGCAAATTCAATACTATCGTCAATAAAGCTTTGAATTTATTTATCAAAATACATACTATTTTTTAATCAATTAAACAATAATGCTATTTATTATTTTGAACTCTACTTATTATTCTGTATGAAATTGTTTAAAACAATTTGAATGTTTATTTAAACATATATTCACATTACACTATTCACAAGCCTCATTGGTTTGGCATTTACAGTTTGGTTTCTTACATCTTTGTCTTGCATCTTTGATGACAGGCCAATGAGAAACTCCATCTGTTCTAATATTTTGCGAAGGGAGTAGTGAAGTTGGACCCCTCTTTTTTTTTTCATAATCGTTTTGTAACGATCCAGTACATGGTCGACCCCTTTTGCGAATACCTACATCTTTTCCCTCCCAACACAACGATTCTGCTACTTTAGTGCGGAATTTGAGCAGATCCATTTGTTGCTTCTTTCCCACTCCCAAAGAGTTACGGTCGCGACGGTATAGGAGCCAAGCATTGACAATAGCAAGATCTATAAAGTGGAAAATTAATCGATGGTACGACTTTCTAGACCGAATATGTATACGGTAGTAAGCAATTAGACTATCCAATGTGTCTACTCCTCCCATAAAATAATTATAGACTTGCACCATTTTTGGGTAGCAAATTTCAGGATAAGCTTTTGATTTTCGGTCCCATCTTTTTATGGTAGATATAGGCTGTGCATGGGAGAAAGTGCTGGCTAATGTAACACCCCTATTATCTAACCACTTTAGAGCTTGTATATTAGTATGTTCTATAGTAGTTTTTTTTCTTCGTAGCTTCCTCGGCCTCTTTTCTTCAACATAGCATCTGCTGGAAATTCCAAACCAGGAAATCTGTTTACTCGAATTGTCCCCATAGCTTGAAAACCTTGTTTTGAAAGTTCTATGAGAAGTTTTACAGACGAAAACCAGTTGTCAAAATAAATTATGTGGTTTAAATCTTTTCGTAAGGTCTGTACTAATTTTTAAAACAATATTTGAACTAGGTCCTAAGTCTACAACATCTGGATGTTTTTCAATTTTACCAGTAAATATATCAAAAGCATGTACAAGTAAATTACTACCACAAATTATGAATATTTTATAACCCCATTTATATGGTTTATTGGGAAGATATTGCTTCAAACCTGATTGTCCCTTGAACGGAACCATCTGCTCGTCAACACTGAGCATTTGGTCTTGAGGAATCTGTAAGAAGGATTCTAATAGTTTGTAGTCTAAAAGTAGTCTAATTTTATATAATTTATCACGATTTTGATCAGTACGTTCAGGTGCAGAATTATCATTTACATGAAGTTGTGTTTTTATTTCTTCCATTTATCTCTACTCATTACATCTGTAACCTGAGTTACTCGACTTTTATGTGCCCAAAACATGCGAGACCTTGGAAGAACAAATACAAACATATAAATAGTAACTCCAAAAAACTGTTCTAGTTCAGAGTGTGTCAACCTTAGTGGTTTATTAGGATTTTGCTGAGTTGCAAATAAGTTACTTTGTTCAACCATGTGGCTCAAAATCTCATTGTTAAAAAAATGTCGAAAATAATTGACTGGCAACTTGATAGGAATATAAAATTACGTCCACAAACGTTCTATAAAAATTAAAATACGGTTTGTATCAAATTAACCTCACTCGGCGTTAAGGGGTTAATCCAATAATCAAATTAGAGCTGCTTTGACCCACGATTAGTTTACCGTGAGATATAGTTGCTATAAAATATTATTTTACAAATTAAAATAACCTACGACGACAATTTTGATACAACTTTTTATTCGCTACGCTAAACGTATTTAGAGATCTGAGTTTCGAATGATACTGCTAAAAATACATTACAAAGCGTCCAACAGAAGCCCCTAGTGAAGGGAAGGTCGTTTCTAAAAACTATAAAAATGTTGCCTTGGGGAAACACGTAAATTA